TTCCTCTGGATCTATCTCGATTTCAGAAATCTAATGGATTTACCTAATTCCCTCAAAGCCGTAACTCTCACACACGTCCGGTACCGTCGCGGCGATCAGCTCGGACATTTCCTCGCCTGGATCTCACTCGTCCCTGTCTTCATCAGCCTCGGAGGATTCGTTTCTCATTTCTTATTCCGTCGTGAGCTTCAAGGGATTTTCTTCGGTATAGGTCTCGTGATCTCTCAATTCATTAACGAATTTATCAAAACCTCCGTGGAACAAGCTCGTCCCGAGACTTGTACGTTACTCGAAGCTTGTGATTCACATGGATGGCCTTCTAGTCACTCGCAATTCATGTTCTTCTTCGCTACGTATTTCAGTTTGATGGGATGTAAAGGAATTGGTTTTTGGTTTGGGTTAAAGAGTAAATGGATTTTGAATCTTCTTCATTGGTCTTTAGCTCTTGTTACCATGTATTCTAGGGTTTATTTAGGGTACCATACGGTGGCGCAAGTTTTCGCCGGAGCTACGTTAGGTGCTATTGTTGGAGCAAGTTGGTTTTGGGTGGTGAATTCTGTGTTGTATCCATATTTTCCGGTGATTGAAGAGAGTGCTTTGGGGAGGATGCTTTGTGTGAAGGATACTTCTCATATTCCTGATGTGTTGAAGTTTGAATATGACAATGCAAGAGCTGCTAGGAAGAATATGGAGACTAAGTCTAATTAAGTTGGCTAATTTGATATCTGGTAAGTCGAAATTTCATCACTGTTTCATTGATTTGGAATTTTGATTAGGTTCTTAGGATAAGCATATGGGAATCAGCTTTAGCTCAAGAATGTAGTGAATCTGATTCTTTATTGATTCCTAAACTTATTTTAGATGTCTGAATGCGAATCGAGTGATGCTCTTGGTATATAATGTCATTTCTGAAAGTTTTGATTGCTTGTGGCATTGATTGGTGTGGCAATGGTGAATCTTCATTGGACTATTTTTTTCGATCTTGATCGGAAAAAAAGGGACATCTTTGATATTGAACTTGGTACTGTTTTGCTCATCTTGTTTTGCTGTAATATTAACTAGTTAGACACTGTTATGGATTTGTAACTGTAATCTTTGTTCTTTGAAAGTGTGCTACTTTAGAAACAGAGGAAGAAGAATGTGAATGTAAATGAGATGCATTTTATCTAGAAGTTTCGATACCCGATTAGTTTGTTTTGTCTATCTTAATATCCAGCTTTTGGATTAGTTTTAGATCTGTTCTAAGGTGTATTTAGTCCTTTCTAGTTCTCGATCCATTTTCTTGCTTGCAACACTTTTTACATTTGTATTCGCTAGGCGGTATTTGCACAGTTGCACTTATGCATGCGCAATCAAAAGATTTTGAGAACTTTATGATTCATTGAAACACTAATGGAAATATGTAAAACCATATGTTCTCTCCGTTGTTTCAGTTTCGAAAACGCGTCTTATTTGTTTTCATCCATTGCAGGTCAAGAACTCTGGGAAAGCTTTGTTCTAAGACTTTGTGACATTGGTGCCTGAGATTAGCTACTCATTTGAACATGAAACACTCACAAGAAGAACCTTCTTCACTCTTATTATCGTCAA